TCTGCAGGGCGCGAGTGAACACATACATATCCAGGGAGCACTGGGCCAGCCATCAGTGCTGCCATGATGGGTTAGGCATGCCTGAGTGGGAAGCAGAGATGTGTAGGAGCTGGTCTGAGAAGGCTACGTGGGTAAGCATGTGTCTTCATTTGGGGGCCCACCAGAATAGTTTCCTATAGGGACCAGCAGGTGGTGTGGTGGTTAAGGCATTGAACTCACACATGGCAGACTGTGGTTTGAGTCTCGGGCCTGGCAGCTTGCTTTCTCACTTTCCCTCTTTCTCTGTCTCTCTTTGGTCAACTTTAAAAAAAAAAAAAAGATGATAATCAATAAAATAAAATAAAATTTTTTTTAGAGGTTTTTGCTATAGGGTGTGTGCACTCACCAGAAAGACAGAGAACAGAGAGACAAAAAGCGAGAAATCACCCCCCGGGGGGATGGCCACGCTGCGATCCCTTCTCCATTCTTCTCTCAGGATCTTGGGCATGCACACACACGTACCTGGCATGAGTTTAAGCCACTGGGTCCAGGACTTGAACTGCAGTCGACTACATGGGAGTCCAGTGACATAGCCATTACGCTAACTGCTGGTCCCAATTCCTTTTTTAAAAAGAATAGCATCTTAGAATTGCAGGGGAGAGGCCATGGCACCCTAGGGCACATCCACCAGCCTTCCAGACAGAGCTGCTTCCATGGCTGGTTCTTCACCTGTTGCCGCTGTGGCACAGTGACAGGCTGCTATGTACCTGCCCCTCTGCTGACCCTTGCCAGGTGTGCTCAGTGTCATAGACACCTTTCACAGTGCAGGGTGACGACCACCCCGGGAAGCAGCTACTATATATTATCATCATTTGATGTTACAAACAAAGAGACAGAGGCTGGGAGGGAAGGGTCAGGATTTGAATCCAGTTCTGTCCAATTCTAAACTCCAAGCAGGGTGGTTTCACTGTGTTCTGCTTGGTCAGGGCCCTGCCATGGGTTTCTCGACCTCTACTGATGGGAACCAGGTATGGTTCAAAAGCCGGGACTTGGGTGGGGGAAGCTGGATGTCTGAGGAAAAGTCGACTTTGGGAGGCACAGGCAGGGCAATTCCTGGCCTCGGGGCTTTTTTTCCTTCTGACCAGCACTCAGGGCTTGTGGAGGAGAAGAGAAGACTGTTTTCAGGAGCTGCTAGGGGATTTGAGAAAAACGCCTTGTCCTGGGATGGGAATTGCTGGAGTGAAGGCCGGGGACTAGCTGCCCTGGACATAGCCAGAGATGTGAGGGTGGGTCTTCTCCAAGGCCAAGAGGCTCCCTCTGCTGGGAAATGTCGGTGTCGCTGTCTATTCAACCTCCGCTCCCAGACCCACCCCAGCCATAACATCACAGGCAAGCACAGACGGCTGCTTCCCAGCCCTGAAGATGCCACAGTCACCCCTAGCAGGTTGGAGGTGGGAGGGACAGGCTCAGAGAATCAGAGGATCACGTGCCACCAAGGAAAGAACTCGGTCTTTGGAGTCGCAGACCTGAGCTCTAAGCACTGCTTCGCCACTTACTAGCTGGTGGCACTGAGCCCAGTTTTCTTAACTGTAAAGTAGGCAGGCTGTGAAGACTAAGTAAGAGAATGAGGGCTGGCTCTGTAGCCTAGTGGTTAAAGGAGTCCGTCCCCACATGCCCAACCATGGTGTGAATCTCAGCCCCAGTGGTTTGAAAAACACTCGGGGTGGGATGTGTGCATGCCCCAAATCCTGACAGGATGGAGAAATGGAGGCGAAAGGATTGCAGTACGACCATCCCCCATTGGCGTAACTTTCTCCCTTTCTTTCTCTCTCTTTCTCTTTGGTGAGTCATGCGCCCTCTGGCAATTAAAAACAAATACAAGAATGACAATAATAAGACCAGGTACTGTCATAAGTGCTACATTATCTCATTCAATTCTCACAGCAGCCCTACAATGAATATGTTCTTTTTTTTTTTTTTTCTTAACTTACTATAAAGGGACCGGCAGATGGTGTAATGGTTACATTGCTGGATTCCCACATGGTCAACTGCAGTTCCAGTCCCGAACCCAGCAACTTAAAACTCACCCTGGGCACGTGTTCGTGTGTGCCCAAAATTCCGAGAGAAGACTAGAGGAGAAGGGATTGTGGCATGACCATCCCCATTGGGAGGTGATGTTTTGCTTTCTGTCTATCTCTCTCTAGTGAGCACACACACACTACAGCAAAAATCTCTCTTAAAAAATTGACTATAGGGAAGCCAGCAGGTGGTGCAGTGGTTAACACATTGGATTCCCATGTGGTCGACCATGGTTTGAGTCCTGGACCAGGCAACTGGAAATTCACACCAGGCCCATACGCATGCGTACCCAAAATCCCGAAAAGAGAAGGGGGGAGAAGGGATTGTGGTGTGGCTATTCTCCCCAGGAGGAATTTCTCTCTTTCTGTCTCTGTCTTTTCAGTGAGCATATGCACCCTATAGCAAAAACCTAAAAAAAGAAGAAAGAGAATTTGCTATAGGGAGCATGTACTTCCTGGACAGAGACAGGAGAGAGAGAAGAAAAGTGAGAAAACACCCTTCAGGGGGAACTGTCATGCCTGAATCCCTTCTCCTTCATTCTCCTCTCAGGATTTTGGACACTCACACATATTTGCCCAGTTTTTAAGCCCCAGTCTGGGACTCGAACTGTGTAGTTGGCCATGTGGGATCCAGTCACCAACTGCCCTGAGCATGGTATCCTTACCTCCACTCTACACGTGAGACCTGTGAGGCTCAGAAAGGAGAGCTAACTGCTCAAGGTCACAGGTCAACTCCCAGGCCACAGTGTTCACCACCACGCTGTTCCAGAACTGTGGGCACTCTTTCTTTCCCTGTCTGTGATGACCAGTGCCAAGGAGATGGAAAGAACTCCAGCTCCATCCTGGAGACCCCGACACAGCTCAATCAAGCTCAACTCTTGACAGCACTTTGCAGTTTATGGAGCCCTTTGGCCCACATCGTCTAATGGATCTTTCCAGTAGTCCTGTGTTCTTCACCTAACAGACGTGAAAGCGGAGGCAGGAGGAACTTCAGTGCCCTGTTCAGGATCTCACAGGTGGGAAACGACAAAGTCGGCCTGGAGCCCAGGCTGGCAGACTATAGTTGACGTTAGAGCCCTCTGGGAGAAATTGCACACTACCTAACCCTATGCATAATTTCATTAGTGTGTGTGTGTCCCTATTCAAGGGGCAGATTTACTGTTTAAATTTTAGAAATTCGATAATACATGATGAAAAAGTCAAAACACTCTGCAGAAGAATCGCCACAATTCATGCAGATGTTCTATCCTCAAGGAGATGGGACATAACTCTCCATTCCTCCAACCTGAGCTTCGCGAGCGCCTTCCTTCCAAAGAGGAAGCATAGAAAAGGCAAAGAGTGACGGTGGAGAGCGCTGACAAACGCCGCCTCAGCCAGCGACTGAGGCTGTCATCGACAGGAGTAAGTCGCTGCGACGAACAACTCACCTTGGCCTGTGCTCTTTCTCCGGAAAACCGCAAGCCCAGTCTAATCATAAGAAAACCATCAGACAAATCTCAATGGAAGGACACGCAACGAATGCTTGACCGGCGCTGCTCAAAACTGTCAAGATCATCAGAAACAAGGAAGGTCTGGGCCAGCTGGTGGCATGATGATAAAGGTGGCTGGATGCCACATGGCTGACTGCGCAGTTCAAATCCTGAACCCGGCGGCTTGCAAAACATACTAGACAAATGTGCATGAGTGTCCAAACTCCCCAAAGGAGAAGTGGAGGGAAAAGGGTTGTGGTATGACCGTGCTTTTCTCTCTTTCTCTCTCTCCACTCTCCTCCAAGTGCATGCACCCTCTAGCAAATTAAAAAAAAAAAAAAGAAGAAGAAAAGAAAAGAAAGTCTGAGAGCTGCTAGAGTTACAGTTAGGTGTCTAGGAGTCTAAATCTAACGTGGAATCCTGGCATAGCAAAGGAAGAGCAGATAAAACTAAGGGAACTTGAATGAAAGGATGGACTTGGGCTAATAATAATAATGTATTAATATTGGTCATTCATTGTAATGAATGTACTATACTCACATTATTAACAGGGGAAACTAGGAGTGTTGGGCATATGGGAACTCAACCCTCTTCACAACTTTTCTATAAATCTAAAATTGTTCTAAAACATTTTTTTTAAGTCAAAAAACTTCAAAAGATATTCAGCAAAAAGTTTCCCTCCTACCCTTGTCAGCTGTTCTGTCCTTTTCCAGAAACAATGCTGCCTTTCTTTCCGAGGCTGCCGTAGGAGGTGGTTTGGCTTCGTGTTAAGAGCCCGGAGTTCCACAGTTGGGTGGCTGTCTCGACCTTGATCACTGCCGGTTTCTAGCTGTGGGACCTGAGCAACTCCCTAACTTCTCTGTGCCTCATGTCCTCAAAGATAAAATCCCCAGATCATTGGGTGAGTGTGGGGGTAAAAGGTGTGAGTGTAAATGCAGTAATCCCCACTTACCCCCGGTTTCAGGTATTCGTGGCCTGCAAATAGGTGAGTACAGTACGCTAAGATACTTTGAGAGAGATTTATTATTTTTCATTACAGTGTATTTCTCTATTGCGTTATTCATTACTGCTGTTGGTCTCTTACTGTGCCTAATCTATACATCAAACTTTATCATAGGTATCCATGCCATACACACTGTGGCAGCCCTCCACACCTTGAAGCTGGTTCTGTGTCAGGACAAGAGCTTCCTCACTCTTGTTGTAGGATGCACTGTATTGAACGCGCTGTGTGGGCACACAGCAAACACATCCATCATCAGTTAGGTCAGTCCCCTGTCGAAGGGCCCTGAGGTTGTCTGCACTCCTTCAGCGTTGCAAATAATGCTATAGTAAGTTACCTGGGACACGGGCTGAGAGCAGATTCACTTAGACAGAGGCGGGTGGGAAGGCACAAGGGGCTCT